ATGAAACTAATAGGCTATAAAAGATATGAACATATTTAGAACTTACCGGAATGAAAATGTCTGGAGCACCAACAGATATTTGGAGATGGAAGAGAGCTGCACGTCAGCTCGTCTCACAGCTGCTCTCCAGGCTGGACGCCTTCGTTTGGTAACATCGATACACGAGCTGCCTCATGTTGCTTCCAGGTTGGGGAAAGAATGAAAAGACAAACCCTTTTCAAGCTTATTCTCTTGCCGGTCGTGCGATCGAACATTGCAGCCGACCACACAGCAAGAACGAACCATGGCTATGCTTTCGCTCCTTTTTCACTTAGACCCCCAAAATGGCGGATCGGGCCAAAATCCTTTCCACGCCCACCCCCGTGACATCACGCTCCAAAGCCCTATAAGGGCAAGAAAAGGTACAGGTATATTACTACTCATGTCATCTGCTGGTGTTGCTCCACTGTCAACACAGCCATAAACCAGGAAGTTTTAGAGCACTTCATGCTTCCTGCTGCTGATCAACTTTATGGAGATGCAAATTTCATTTTCCAACAAGACTTGGCACCTGCACACAGTGCCAAAGCTTCCAGTATCTGGTTTAAGGACCATGGTGTCCCTGTTCTTAATTGGCCAGCAAACTCGCCTGACCTTAACCCCACAGAAAATCTATGGGGTATTGTGAAAAGGAAGATGCGATATGCCAAACAGTGCAGAAGAGCTTAAGACCACTATCAGAGCAACCTGGGCTCTCATAACACCTGAGCCAGTGCTTTAAGTGGGCCGGTACGCGCCGGTACTCAGTACCGCCACTTCTAAATATAGCTCTTGAGAGTACCGCCACCTCTCCATGCGCCCAGAACGTGCTTTTAGCGTACCGGTACTCTCATTTGCACATCTGTTATAATCGTTTGGCTGCGCTGCCGCTTTTCAGAGCGCCCTTCACAAGCACGCTTCCTAATTCGTCCCACCGAGAGCAGAGACTACATTACCCATACACCAATGTGTTTTACAAGTGAAAAGCGCATGCGTCGCTTTTGCCGTTGTCATGTCAACAACACTTAATATGCTCTCCTGGCTTCAGACTCTGAGTAGTAAAAGAACAAGGTCAGAATCAGAGGACTCGCTGGCTGACACCCCACCAAGCCAGAATGATATCGCTGCAGGTCAGACGCAAGCTAATGAAAGCTGCACTAGTGCCGCAGCCGCGGACGACGGCACTTTTTGCGACGACGAGGACGAGAATGACACCATTTCTACCGATGACAACAGCCGCGTTAGCGAGCATGAGTGGCCAGAATGTTGGTCCCAAGCACAAGTCCGGTATTTCTCCACAAATTACAAGTGGCTGATCAGCAGAAATCAAAAGTTGGGTTGTAGTGTGTGTAGTCAAGTTTGTGCTCGCGTGGACATGCAGCAAGGGCAGAGAGTGTCGCAGGAGTGGAGTGGGTGCTTAATCTCGTCTTTTGGAAGGGACAAGGCTGCACAACAAAACTCACTACGAAAGAAAATAAAAGAGCACAGAGACTCAATTTATCACAAGAAAGCAGTTGAAATAAAAGAGAAGGCAACACAAAATACAATGCAAAAACACATTGAAGATATGAGAAAGGCTGACTACGCTTCAACTTGCAATGTGTTTAGAACAGCTTATAAGATTGGCAAGCATGGGCGTCCCTTTACAGACATGCCAATCCCAGCCTCGAGAGCTACCGTCCTGCAGCTTTTAGATGCATCCCTACTCCAACACAGCTGAATCAAATGAATGGCTTGTTATCAGGCCTTTGCCAAACACGATGGCATGCTGAAGAGGTAATCAAACCATTTGATTTTGAATCTGCTTTTGTATATTTTTCAGGGGTAAAGAAATGAACCATCTTCAAGACTCAAGATTATGTTCTACTGTTCTATGGTTATTATGTTTGGGTTGCTTCAAGTGAGAGAACAGTGAAAGTAGTATGGGAGAACTACCAAGCTCTGCAGGTACACTTTACAAGTGCTGCTGCTGATACCAGCAGGGACTCAAGAGAGAGAGCAAAATACAAATTAGTTTATAATTTATTTTATGTACATTTTGTTAAAAAAAAATTTCAATACCTTTTTGCACATTTTATTTATGTTCAGTAGCTCTTTCTAGCTCAAGCAAATCCACAAACTAATAAAATGATTTATTATTTTGTATAAGGTTGTCTGTTGACTGTTGTATATAAAACCCATTCAATATAGTTGTTGTTACCTCAGGGGAGGCGGAAAAAAAATAGAGTACCGGCACCTCTTTTGGGCCACTTAAAGCACTGACCTGAGCAGTGCCGCAGACTGATCGGATCCATGCCACTCCACTCCGCATTGCTGCAGTAATTCAGGCAAAAGGAGCCCCAACTAAGTATTGAGTGCTGTACATGCTCATACTTTTCAGTTGGCCGAGATTTCTGAAAAACCTTTCTTTGTACTGTAATATTCTAATCTTCTGAGATACTGAATTTGGGGTTTTCATTAGTTGTCAGTTATAATCATCAAAGTTGTGAGACATAAACGCTTGAAATATTTTAAAAAAAAAAAAGAAAAAAAAAGAAATGTACATATCTTCATGCATGCTTTGCAAGCTCAGTGGATGTTTTTTTTCTTTTTTAAAGAAAAGCCTGTCTGTATAACGGAATCATTAAAATGTTGAAGGTTAAAAAAAATAAAAAGAAAGAAATATGTGTGGACTGAATGTATACATTATACAACTTTCATTTTTTGAATGGAACTCGTGAAATAAATCAACTTTTTGATGATATTAGTGTGTATGTATGTGTGTGTGTGTATGTATGTATGTATGTATGTATGTATGTATGTATGTGATGTATGTATGTATGTATGTATGTGTATGTATAATCTCTCTCCGCACTTTTTGCGACGACGAGGACGAGAATGACACCATTTCTACCGATGACAACAGCCGCGTTAGCGAGCATGAGTGGCCAGAATGTTGGTCCCAAGCACAAGTCCGGTATTTCTCCACAAATTACAAGTGGCTGATCAGCAGAAATCAAAAGTTGGGTTGTAGTGTGTGTAGTCAAGTTTGTGCTGGCGTGGACATGCAGCAAGGGCAGAGAGTGTCGCAGGAGTGGAGTGGGTGCTTAATCTCGTCTTTTGGAAGGGACAAGGCTGCACAACAAAACTCACTACGAAAGAAAATAAAAGAGCACAGAGACTCAATTTATCACAAGAAAGCAGTTGAAATAAAAGAGAAGGCAACACAAAATACAATGCAAAAACACATTGAAGATATGAGAAAGGCTGACTACGCTTCAACTTGCAATGTGTTTAGAACAGCTTATAAGATTGGCAAGCATGGGCGTCCCTTTACAGCAGGGCTGCCCAATCCCAGCCCTCGAGAGCTACCGTCCTGCAGCTTTTAGATGCATCCCTACTCCAACACAGCTGAATCAAATGAATGGCTTGTTATCAGGCCTTTGCCAAACACGATGGCATGCTGAAGAGGTAATCAAACCATTTGATTTTGAATCTGCTTTTGTATATTTTTCAGGGGTAAAGAAATGAACCATCTTCAAGACTCAAGATTATGTTCTACTGTTCTATGGTTATTATGTTTGGGTTGCTTCAAGTGAGAGAACAGTGAAAGCAGTATGGGAGAACTACCAAGCTCTGCAGGTACACTTTACAAGTGCTGCTGCTGATACCAGCAGGGACTCAAGAGAGAGCAAAATACAAATTAGTTTATAATTTATTTTATGTACATTTTGTTAAAAAAAAAATTTCAATACCTTTTTTGCACATTTTATTTATGTTCAGTAGCTCTTTCTAGCTCAAGCAAACTAATAAAATGATTTATTATTTTGTATAAGGTTGTCTGTTGACTGTTTTATATAAAACCCATTCAATATAGTTGTTGTTACCTCAGGGGAGGCGGAAAAAAAATAGAGTACCGGCACCTCTTTTGGGCCACTTAAAGCACTGACCTGAGCAGTGCCGCAGACTGATCGGATCCATGCCACTCCACTCCGCATTGCTGCAGTAATTCAGGCAAAAGGAGCCCCAACTAAGTATTGAGTGCTGTACATGCTCATACTTTTTATGTTCATACTTTTCAGTTGGCCGAGATTTCTGAAAAACCTTTCTTTGTACTGTAATATTCTAATCTTCTGAGATACTGAATTTGGGGTTTTCATTAGTTGTCAGTTATAATCATCAAAGTTGTGAGACATAAACGCTTGAAATATGTGAAAAAAAAAAGAAAAAAAAAGAAATGTACATATCTTCATGCATGCTTTGCAAGCTCAGTGGATGTTTTTTTTCTTTTTTTAAAGAAAAGCCTGTCTGTATAACGGAATCATTAAAATGTTGAAGGTTAAAAAAAATAAAAAGAAAGAAATATGTGTGGACTGAATGTATACATTATACAACTTTCATTTTTTGAATGGAACTCGTGAAATAAATCAACTTTTTGATGATATTCAAATTTTATGACCAGCACCTGTGTATGTGTGTGTGTGTATGTTGTGTGTGTGTATGTGTGTATGTATGTGTATATTGTATATTGTATGTATGTATGTATGTATGTATGTATGTTTATATGTATGTATATATATATATATATATATATATATAAATTCCCCACCACAGGGAGAATTTGTGTTAAATTTTGCATTGATAGTATATGGATTTGTACACTTGCAATTCTGGACACTAGTCTGTGTTAAATCAATAGTAATATATTTTTAAATATTGTGTACTTAGATTAGGAACAGCAGCACTTTTACAGTTGTTACATGTTTAGTGAGCAGCTGCCAGCTTGTGATGTCAGCTGTCATAATGTGAATCCACCCGAAAGAAACAGAACCAAGCTTGCACACTTGGATACAGGATTTCTGGATTAACGTCTCCGATCCTGAGGACACCCCTGCTTACATGTAATTATATATGTATTATGCTCCACCTCGTACGAGTTTATCCCCGCCTACCAAAAACACACCAATCAGAGTTGACTCACATGACACATAAAGGCTCCGTTTCGCCCTTTCATTCCTTCAGGGAGAGGGACAGTTAAGAGGAAACGCAGCAGCTGAGTCGTTCCTGTTGTGTTTGTTTGAAGCGTGTGGCCTAGGCAGCGTGCGTGTTTGGTACACCGCCTTTCGCAGGAACACGGACTCTGTCGACAAAATTCCCTTTGAACAGAAGCGGGTGTGAGGAAAATATAAGTCCTAATTATTATTTTATAAGGAAGCATGGACTCTTGCTGATGACAACCAACATTCTCGTGGATTTCACTAGTCTGGAGTGGAAATATGCTGCTGCGTTCATGTGGAAGCCTCGAAGTAGACGGAAATTGTCATAAGTAAGGCGAATGTGGTAAGTAAACTGACAGAAGGTTTGTGTGTGTGTGTGTGTGTGTGTGTGTGTGTGTGTGTGTGTGTGTGTGTGTGTGTGTGTGCGCGCGCATTTTATGTTAACTTTATATGTAAAACAAAATGTATTTCACTTTTTGTGCGTCATCTCTTCAAAAGAAGTGAAACTGTAAGTCAGTGTTTGATTGTGTTTTACATGCCGGTGTGGCTGTTTACTAATCAGAAGCTTTGTTCGAACCAGCTCCAGTCTGCATGCCAAATATCATTGGTCAAGCTGCTCCCGATGCACTGGTCGGAGTGTGAATGTGTGTGGGGAAAAGCAATTAACTTCCTCGCGCGTAAATTCAACAAACCGCGCGTGTTGAACTTATCAGCCGCGTGCACACCTTGAAAATTTCCATGAAATTCTATTCCAAATCAAAACCCCATAAACTGTGGTATGTTACAATAATATTAACTCTGAGTGGTAGATGCTGTTATTCATTAATGCCGCATAGAGGTGGGTCAGAGTAATAACAGAAATTAAGTTTGAAATTACATTTGCTATAGTTACCTGACAGCAGCTGAGCTATGCCATTATGGCCATGTCACATGAATGGTGTGACAGCTATTTCACTTCTATAAACTAATAAGTTCATGTTGAATAAAAAAAAAAAAATCTTATTCTTCAGTCAAACTTTGAGGCAGTAGCTCTCCAATGTTCTTGTAGATTGTTCAAAAGAACCCCCAAAGTCTAAAGAGTCTTTGAAATGTGAGAGTTTGAGCATGACAGGCCAAAGGTAACAACTGACCTCTTTATATACCAGTGGCCCAGTATTGTTCCTTGTTCTGCAATTACAAGCTCTGTGTAAACAATCTTGGTATCAAAATAAACTTACACTTGTGAGATTTCATCAGAGGTGTAAAACTTGGAGCAGATGTTACTGAGGCTGAAACACAGAAAGGCAGAAGTGGCTCTGATGTGGCTAGTTAGCTGCAATAGCTCCTGATAATAATTAGTCTATTGGCTGACTTCAAAGATAACTGAGGAAACTGAGAAGCCAGTTTCTGTCTTTTTTCTTGTGTTTGGCTGAGATTCTAAGGTTTTAGCACAGTTCTAAACGAGTTACATAGCTGCTTTTCATTTTCAAAACCTACATGCTAAGACACACCCAAAAAATATAATGTGAACATGGTTAGATCCCTTCTTTATGAGGAAACAAAAATGCTCATCATAAGTGCTCAAGGTTATGTTTTTCTGCGCCGAACGGAGCTTCAGAGTACCCAGCCTTCTTGGAGTCACTGGGTGTTTGAGGTAGTTCCACCTGAGACCCTGTTGTCCTACTGGGAGACTTCAACACTCATGTGGGCAACGCTGGTGAGACCTGGAGCAGCGTGATTGGGACTGACCTGCCAGATCTGAAGCAGAGTGGTGTCCTGTATGTCCACAATGAACACAATGTTCAAACAAAAGGGCAGCCATAAGTGCACGTGGCACCAAGACAGTTCAGGCAACAGGTTGATGATTGATTTATGCAATCGAATCATCAGACCTGCGGCCATATGTTCTGGACCCTCGGGTGAAGAGAGATACTGAGCCGTGGACCCAAGGTGGTTGTTACTTGACATGTTGGTAACCCCCAAACCAGATAGTGGACACCAGAGGTGAAGCAAACCATCAGGCTGAAGGAGTCCTATCAGGCTTGTTTGCCTGTGGGGCTCCTAACACAGCTGATATGTACTGACAGGCCAAGCAGAATGGGGCTCTGGTAGAGGCTGAGGCAAAAAGTAATAGTATTGGTGAGGCAAGGGTGTAGATTTGGCGTGGACGGAAGGGCCATGTCCCCACCAATATCCAGCGATTATTGAATTGTCCCCACCAATAATTTGATCTCTTCAAGTAAAGAAAAACAAAACTGATAGAAAGAAGTAAAAAAACAACTAAAAAAACCAACTGTCAACGTCTCATTCACCCAGCGGTGCACAAAGAGTTAAATTACGTTCTCTACTGGAATCCTACCTCATGTGACAAATATGGCCAATGTGATTGGCTGTGCCTTTCAGAGAGCTCTGTTTAGTTTTAGCAGCAGCAAGCCTGCTCTGCGAGGACCTGCAAGGAGGAGAGGAGGATGGCAGCAAAAATGAAGAACCTGGATATAAGAAAGTATTTTTCAAAGAAACCTGTAATAGGGCTGGGTATCGTCACTGATTTCTAGAATCGATTCAATTCCGATTCACAAGGTCCCGAATTGATTCGATCCACGATTCGATTCTATTCAATTTGAATCTGGGAAATTTTGACAGAAATATTATAATTCAGATCAGTACATTTACATATTTTTGTATGATACCTGCTTTATGTGGAATATGGCTGAAGTAAACTAAAGCCTAAAATACTCAGTCATTTGTTTAATAGTAATTTAATATTGTATAATTCACATATAAAACTATGAATTGTAATTTTAAATGGTTTAAAAGCACGTAGAACATCATATCTAGGTAGGCGAGTATATTTCTCCTTTTTGTCTTTGCTTCTTGATTTTTTTTTTTTTTTTTTTTTAAAAAAACAGGACATGGTTCGGTGGTTGAATAATCCATCCCCACCAATGCCAAAACCAAATCTACACCCTTGCAAA